GAGTGAAGAGTGAAGAGTGAAAAAAATGTTGAGTAATTGTAGAAGTAGAATAAAATGTATGAGAATTAGTGTTGAAAGTGAAGGGTATTTATAGGTATTTATAGGAAAAAAAATCAGAATTTTTAAGTATTTTTTTAAAAAAAATTTCGATTTTTTTTTATAATTTTATTACTGAAAAATCGCTAGCCGTTGGATGAAGCTTTGGAATCAAATCGGAGCGTTGGGGGCGTGCCACGTGTCTTCCACCCGTTGGGCTGGCGTCGCGCTGATGTCAGCGCACGCAGGTTCAAATTTTTTTTACCGTTAGCGTGCATTGCACGCTCCAACGGTAAAAAGAATTTAAACTGCACGTGACGACGTCAGCCTGACGTCACCCTCCCGCGTTTTGGACCTGGAGCGGAACTTGCCTTCGGGCCAGCCCGGGTTGGTGGGTCCCACACCCCCCCCGGGCCTGGGCTGCTCTGCTGGAACGAAATTTTTTTTCCCCCAACCCCCCCATCGGGCTGGGCTGCACCGGTGGAATGGCTCTTACAGATACACCCTTAAGTCATGTGCGTACGATCCCTCTACCCACTCAACCTCCTCTTAACTGAACTCTCCCCACCCCATAGCCACGACGACCCACCCCCAAACTCATTCATTGTCTGTCGGGTCTGTTGGGGTGGCTGTGGGAGTGGTTGGAGAGAGGCTGTAGGATTGGGCCAAAATACCCCTCCATACTACAGTTATTTGACAAAAAAATTGTGAATTATCCTTTAATTGTTTGGAATTCAAATTACAGGAGCTAAAATTGACTTTTGGACTTAATTTTACTAGAATTTAGAGATAAAATTAATCTAAATCCAACCGTGCCTAGCTCAACTTGCCAAATGGACCTCGTGAATTCTCAGGTAGCAAAACATCATGCCACATTGCTTGTGAAAATTAGTCTACATATGTTTTTCTAGGATTTCTACTTCATCATACACGAAGAAGAAGCGAAGCGAAGCGAAGGGCAATACAAGAATCGACAAATCAAAGTAAGTTAACCAGCAAGGTATTTCAACGTTTTAATTGCATTTCTCTGGCAATACAAGGTAGCCATTTTTCACCCCTTATTTTCTTCAGTTGAGCAACTCTTTCCTCTTCTCTTTTGGCTGCTGCTTTTGCTGCTTCATCTTTAGCTTCTTGCCTGGACAATGATCTCTGGCATTTGTCTCTTGCTGCAGCCATTATGTCTTTCCCATCAACAACAACAGATTCGAGTCGCCGTCTAAACTGCAATCCATTTAGACAATACCATGAATGGATAAGGAAAGTAGAGCCATTGTGTAAACAAGAAATCACCGACTCAAACTAAGATTCATGGATAAATAAGCAAACCTTCTTTGATTTCTCATTAATTTCTCTTCCAGGAAGAATTCTTGGTCTCTTTCTCAATGGTTGTTCATCTGACAGCATTCACATAACTTTCAGTTAATCATGCAAACAGTTTGGCAATTGGCAGTGTGGAAATGCATCAGTAGGATGGCACCAGAGAATGGTCAACTCTCCAATTCAAGCATTAAAAAAAGGCATGTTAAAACTCAAAAATTATCCTATCCTGACACAATTTGGCTAAAAATTAGCAGTAACTGGATGATATCACAAACCCAATTACATTTCATTTATAAGAACAGTTTTCTGCTCCAAGATTACTCTTTACTCAAATCTAGAGATCGAATATTTGGGTCCTCAGTAAGAAGAGGGGGTAAAAAATGTCAGGTCATATTCAGGCAGTTTCACTCAGCTATTATCTCAACAATAATAAAGCAGTAGGTGGACACATCATGATTATCTCCTAATCCCTTGTTTACAAATAAAACATTTGATGGGAATTACTTACCTACGTGATCAAACACTATCCCAGGGGGAGCATTTTTGAACAAGCGAATACAACCTTCATCTTCATCAACCACAGCTTCATCATCTGGTAAATGAATGAGGGGATCATTCACAATCTCCAAACTCTTTCCTATGATTTCATCCAAAAGTTTTTGTGCCTGCCATCAAGCTTGCTACTTTAGTTTTGCACAAATTGGCCACAAAGAGGCACATATATATACTTCAAATTATTATCCCACAAAATGTTTATTTCACAAAGAAACTACAAACCCATTAAATTGAAAGAGATGAAAAACAAAGTGCAGATAATTTGGGGACTGATTGGGCAGGCTGACCTTGATTTGGTAGTGCTTGGGCAGCTGCTGGGTTTTACTCTGGTTGTAATCT